TAAATTGGTCATTGTTCTGCAATTCTGATTCTGTGTACATAATTATTTGTAAGGAAAACTAGGTGTCAAACTTTAATGTTTTGGATGCCACTATTGCATTTCTTCGATGTCCTTTTTATCTAGTCAGTTTTTTGTGCCCTATTCGTGAAAGCTCATCAGCACTTTTTTGTTATTGTGAGGGCTTGCAGTCTCATTTATCAACGATTTTTTATTCCTTAAGCAGTGAATAGCAAATTCGATGGCTGTTTTATATGTTAAAAATGATTGTCTTAAATCGTATAAAAAAACACTGTTTGGAAGTCTATCTTTAAATTTATTAAACTCCTCTTATAATTGGTGAAAAATACGTCTTTTCAGTGGCATAATTTTATAAAAGCTCATACGTTGCTTTATGCTCAGGTATGTAGCTTTTCAAAATAATAAATCAAATTTATTGCATATGCGGCTTGTTAAAGACGAATTCTTCGTTTTTTGCTATGCATATGCATGAGCAACCTTTATTCAATTATATTTGGGTTTTTTCTGTTTCAAGCTGAAATCCGACTTGAATTTTTAGGGCCGGAGGTGGGTTAAACTTTGATTTGTCCTGTATTTCTGCAGGCCTTATTCTGGATGGATGTCTTGTTTTGTTGTGTCTATTTTTCTATAAGCTGCAATTACTTTGTACCTTTGGCCTCCATTGTGTATTGTACAGTGTTCCCGATCAGTTGATAGCCTACAGTCCTTAGAGCTTGACAGGTACTGAGAATCGTTTTCACTTTAAAAGTTCAAAAAATGTAAAGGTGTCGGGATGATAGTGAGCAATATTTTACTATTGTTGATGGATGGTTCTTTCCATCTCATTCGCTTCTTTTTTTTTAAGCACAGTTAAAGGCAGCTAAACAAGACACCTATTGTAACACGCTCAATGCAAATTAATAGGATTGTCATAACGCAAAGCCAAGGAAACGTAGGTAGTTCCTGAACGTCTAGCAATTAGTCCTTTTAATCTTTTAATTTTTGACTTGTCCGCAAAACTTGACACTCGGTTTATCTAGTAAAATTTTCTTCCTCCCAAAGTTTTAATTCCACCAGTTTTCCTTGACTTTTTAGTTCTTTTCTCACTGAATCACTAGATTCGCTGTAAAATTGGCTTTTCCACTGTTGAAACAATGTGATTTTTTCGTAATTGGTAGTCAAAATAAGAGTTACTCATAGATGAGAAAAGAGAAGTGCTGTAATACAGCGTGATACACAGCGAAATTGGAATGAGACACTTCAGAAATGAATATCACAACAATTAGCACCAAAACAGATGAAAAAAAAAAAACTAATAATTTCATTCTTGAGCAAGCTTAGTCATTCAAGAGCACCGGAGATAAGGAGTCAGTAGAAGTTTAAAGAAGGATAATTATAAACAAAAAATAAGAACATTGAATAAAGGATAACAAAAAGACCAAAATATGTGGAAATGAGAAACTCAAAGTACCCTATATTTCTTTTCATATTGCAGCAAAATGCTCTAATTGAGACACGCCGCCAAAAGCCAGTTTTAACTCTTGAAATATTTTTACTTAGATGGGTACAAATGTTAAAGTATTCTTCTGAAATAACAGGGGAAAAATTGAGAATGTTTAGGAAATGTAGGAGGAAAAACGTTTCAAAGACCTGTAAGGACTGGAGTGAGCTAGTCACTTTGTTAACGCTAATAATGTACAAAAAAACTTTGTGCAGCTAAAAAAGCAAGCACTGCTGAGGAAAAATGTTCCAATATTTTGAGCCACAAAATATCTCAAACAAGACATTTCTATTTGCAAAAAAAATTATGAGGAAAGAAAAGAAAACAAAAAACGAATACAATAACAGAAACGCTCATTGCATGTTTTTACACATAATGATGGCGGGCCGTAATTCGGTTCGAGTATCCAATATCAGTGTTACCATTTTTACTCCAAAGATCAGCTTTAGGTGTTGAAAACGAGACCACTAAAAATATTTTTAACTCGATATAATTATGAACATGCTGAAAACGGTTTATTTGAAAACGGTTTATTTGCGGCGCTGTGTTAATAAGGTACTTAGCTAAGAATTCCTTAAGAAAAAAAATTCATTTCAAGGCAAAATCTCACAAGAAACACGTTTTTTCCAATCTCTAACTCAGATATAGAACTTTTCGCCTGTTGAGAATAATTTGCTAATATACCTCGTAAACGTTGCTCTGTAGGAGCCGGTTTTTCTGTAGTCGACGTTGGGACAGTTGGTTCCAGTGTGAGTGAAACTGACGGTACTGACAACTCGGTGGCCGAAGCAACTTCTTCAATGCTTAAAAGGAACTTTGCGTAGTTTCATTTTTCTGTATGCCAGTAAATCTTAGTTACAGTTAAGTGTCTTAAGTCCATCTAGTAGAAAGACTGAATAACCTTCTGGTATAGGACCTTGTTCTTCGATGATGTGACGGTGAAGACGAAACCTCCTGAAGCTCCGAAATCCCTGGAAACTCGCTATCTGACTTTCTATACGATTTTCGTCTCATCGACTTCCACATACCGATTCCTGGAAAAGTCGTGTAAATCGATGACAAATCCCCCATTTTGACTAGTAATAAAAGTAAAAAAATTGTTCGATGATTAAAGAGGAATTCTACTCAGCACAAGATCCTGAGAGAAATAATAAAATCAACAATTTTTCTTATTCCAAAGTGTTACTCTTATTTAATGGCAGCGATGGGCTTTTCGTGACCCTTGTTGGTACAGACTGACCACTTTCGTCCTCAGCGTCTTCAATTATTGTACCCTCAAAAATGCCTTCACAAGGAACCCCTACAACGGCAATAAAAAAATTCCTTGTCGCACTACTTGATACAATATAACGGAAGCAAAACAAAACTGCCATTGCAGGTGAAAAAAATAAAAATTCATAACATCATTTAAACACCCATCACTTCGACTTTTGCCTTAAAACTGTGCGACACAACTCGAGCAAGTGTGTTACAAGAACTATTTTCTTTCAGCCGGCAGCAAATATTATTTGTTAACCTTTATGAAAAGAAGCTGGTGCTAGTCGTGATATCTTTGTTAATGTAGTTGTGGATAGTCTACGCATGTCAGTTAAAGGGCGTATACCCGATGGACGATGACTAGGTGGGACACTGTGAGTGCTTCCAGCTTCGCTATGCACTTCATTTATGGAAGGAGTATACGAGCGTGCATTTTCTGAGAAAAGTGAATGGTAAATGCGGCTAGCCAATTACATCCGGCTTACAAACACTAGGCGTGGTCAAGGAATAAATTTTGATACCCATCAAACGAGCTGAAAACTCTTCAGTCATTGTATGCAGTTCTTGAGCCAGTTCATTCAGCAGGACATGGGAACTGTGTACGGTTGGAGGTAATCTTGCTCCCATCCTGCTCACTCGTTCCTTAAATTCCATCTGCCATCTTGCCTCATGTTCGGAAGCTGGTTTTTGATTAACCTGAGTAAGAACAATCAGGAATCAAATTAGAGATTCCACTGAACTTCATTATTTAGCTTCTAAAAATGCATTTTATTGCTTAAGGCTTTTCTCTCTCTCTTCTCTTTCAGGAAAATGGTCCATTTTATAAATCACATTAAATTTTAAAAAACGCAAAGGCCAGGAGATCAAAAAAAGTACAAAAAATAACCTTATTTTGAAGAATTGGTAGTATGAGAAGGGAAATAGGTAAATTCACATCTACTACAAAGTCGGCAAACGAATATAATGCTGCGCCACCCATCTTCTTTGATATCAGATCTTTCGTCAACTTAGCAATTTTTGACCAATGAGACGAAAGCGTTGTTTGGAAAACGACCATCATGACTTTTAAGGCTAAATTTTTGAAGCTTTCGAAGATAAGTTTCATGGCCTGCACACGCAAGCAAGTCATAATTCTGATAACTTTTTAATTTAGAGCAAAAATTTTACCTAGAAAAATTGTTTGGCAAACTGTTTCCCGTACAAGAGGTTGCACTGTTACTGTTGCAGAATGGCCACCAGCTACTGTCACAGACCCTTGTCTGCTACTAAGTTCTAAAAAACCCCGTTCTGGGATTTAACACAACTAAAAAAAGGTAAACAATTAAAAAAGCTAACCATGGATAGTAGAATTTCTCGCAGTAGCGGGTATCAGGGTAGAACTTGGAGCTGGCGCGAGACTATGCTTACATAGTGTAGGTGTTATTGCATTCTGCATAAAATTCAAACAAAACTCTAAATCCTTCCACTGAAACCTCGGTGCGTCTGAAATTAATTGAACTCTAAAAGTCACATATCTTCAACTTTATCACGAACTTTCCTAATTAACTTCCTACAACACTTTTAAAAGAAAATAATGCCTCTCAGCTTGATAGAGATTTAAATGAACCTTTGTCAACAGAAGCAGCACGAATGAACAAAGGTATTAGCACTCTACAAAGAACCACTTCAGCACGATCTGCAGTTGGACCAATGCCATCCACGCTACAGAGGAAGCTGAGCTAAAGTGATAGATATCTTTAACTTTTTTTGAAATAAGTTGACAGAAAATCAACTGAGTGATAATTGAAGGTCACAAAAGAAAATGTGCAGGAACCAGTCGCTAGGAATACCTGATCTAACGCCTGAATAAGAAAAGAGACAAGTTTCAAAACAACGTCACAGAAGAAAGGAGGAGGAGCAGTGGGATGAAGAACGGTTGACGGCGTCAAGTTATGTAAAGCTGTCTGCGAAGAATCGTCCATAGTTGGGTCACCAACCATCAACCGCAAACACCTTTGAGTTATTGACTGAAACAACGACTTTTAAACCGAAACATTTTTCCGTTAACGAATTCAGGTCTTAAAATAAGTTCAAAATTACCTTAACAGCAGATAGATTAATATAAGGGTAAGCGTTCAGAGTTTTATACAGACCGCTCAGCCAGTTGCTAATGGCCGACCAATTGATTCTCCTTCTAAGCAGCATCTTTTTTCCAATCTTCTGCATCGTTTTATCGAGGCGATTCAGAAGTTTATTCAGCGGAGCTCGGTTGCCCTCTGCTGACCAGTCAGTTACAGGCAGGATTATCAAAAAGTACCTTAAAGTTAGTATTTTAAGCACGGCATTTGCTTCATATCAAAAAGATCGAATCCCGTAGCGAGATTTTATGTGAAAATAGGCTTCTTATGTAACATTCTAAGCACTAACTTACTCTTAAAGCTACATTAATGAGTTATATTTGAAAACCAGTTCTGAAAGCTCAATAAACTGATAGTGCAGTAGCTAAGCGCTTCATATATAAGCTACTGACAAAAAGTCATAAAAAGCTTACTTTTGCAAACCTAGGCAACACATCACATTGTAATCTTCCGGAACCAATTTAAACAGTGAGAGAGCTATTTCACACAATTTCTGAAAAGAAAAACATAATTACGAGTAGCACGCAGGAAGACCCCATAGGATGAAGGATTGAACTAAAATAAGCTAAAAAACCAACCATATGACATTTGTAGTCAAGCATCTCAATAATCCTGTGATGTTCGGAAGGAGCTAGTTTCGAAAGCTCTCTGAGGCGCGGCGTAACCTTTTCAATAAAAGTTGCTGCAAGAACTAAAAGTGCATCACGGGGTTTCAAAAAGGAATCCCGATGTAATTCGACTGTAGTAGATCCTTCCCAACTATTCGTTTTCGTTCTTTCTCTGGTTGTACTAAAATATCTCAAATAATACTATACTAGCAATAGTAAAGATAAAAAATTATTAGAGAAATTTCTTTTCACTGCTACTTTCCACTATTCATCTCAACTTGGGAATGTTACAGGAAAGCCCGTTACTAACTTTGGCTGAGCTTTGCTGTCATCAGTTGGAGGATCGTAAAACTGTGGCGATTCAGTACCAAAAGATCGACCTCTGTCTGTTGCACTGGAGCTTAAATCAAAAGTACGCCCTCTAGAATAAAAACGAGCAAAAATCGCGCGCAACTCACGAGCAAAAATCAGCAGAAACGGCAAAAGTATTCAGTCTTATGATAAGATATTATGCTAGATACCTAGCTAAAACGTCACAGCAATTAATCAAAGCTTTGATTTCAACGCAAAGCGTGTTATAAACCGTCAATTCATGCTTTACTACAGACACGTTTGATTTCTGTTGGGTAGTCTCTCGTTCTGCCCAGTCAACAAAATGAGGAAGAATAGCTTGAAGAACTAACTGAAAGATAAAGCCAATATTTTATAGTCACACTATGAAATTTTCAATTTTTACGACAGAGTAATGATAGAAAAATCTTCATGAAAGATAATTTTGAACAACAGGCACATAAGTTATAAGCTGTACCAGCATTTGATAAGATCTTCTTGACTCTGGTGCGAATGCACAGACAGTTATGCAACTAGCTATCCCATCCGTAAGAATGCTAAATGTGTTTGGATCATCGCGATAGCACATATCAACAGCCTGAAAAGTAAATCTAAGAAAAATGAATTATTGCTTTGATGATAATACAGCACAGAAAAGTACAAGGAAAATGCTATAAATAAAATAATATGAGAAACTCAAAATGATTTTCGAGTTTATTAAAATTACCTTCAACGGTTTTGGACCGTTCACAAGTTCCAGGATTTCGAGAGGATCCTCCATGCTTGACATATTCTCCATCTGTATCAAAAGTTTGAAGAAATACTTTGCTTTGATCTGAAAAATACTCTAAACGGTAAAAAATTGCTAAGATAGACAGCGAAGTGGAGGTAATAAAGCTAACACCTACGCGCGAACAGCTGAAATTTAAATGGAAGTTTTAAGATACTCAAGTTAAGAAAATAACGAAGAAAAATGAGACCTTCATGGGGTTTATTTCAAAATCGTTATCATTCATGTCGAGTATAGTAGCAGCGGCCCCGGCCATTTGAAGAAAAAACGGTTTACGGTGCAGTATATAAAACTGCCGACAGACAAATTCAATTGATCGGCAAAGTAAACTGTTCGTTTGTCTTTGACAGTAACACCGTAAAACGGTAGGCATCATAAGAAAAAACCCCTAGAATTGAAGACTGTTCTGAGTAGTCTATACTTTTTCAGTACACCTAAGAATTGAATTTGAATAACTCAGAAATATAATTTTAAGTGTCGCAGGAAAGAAGGAACGTCTCTAACCTGACTAGCAAATAAGGTCGTAAATCTCACAGCCATAGACAAATAAGTAGCCAAACAACATCGTAGTATATTAATATTTTCACAATGCATCAGGGTTACACCGTTTATTACATTAATAAACAAATGTAAATCGTCATACATAAAAGAATTTTCCATCTTTTCAAACATATTTGACATAAGCTGCAAGAATAAAGGCTGTTTAAAAAAGCTAGTAAAAGACCTGGTTGAAGAGGCATAAACTGATTGCTATAATAATTCATCAAAAAGAACTGTTTAACAAAAAATCACCTCTGCCCAAGCGAATTTGTGCATTGCATCCATTGCATATAATTCCCTGCCCATCGGTCCATTGTACATTCCAAAGCAAGTTTCAAGACACTTTCTAGGAAATGAAGGGAGATGCGTGAACTCATCGTGCAAGAAGAAAATGCGTTGAGGGATCTAGAAGTTGATTAGGATTATCAGCAGTACGAAAAAGAAAACAAAGAAAAAAAAAGGAGAATAAACTAACAACATTCTCTGGAGTATGTCTAAGGGCGTTATGAGTTAACAATATTTTGCCGATTTCTATAAAACGCTGTATAAAAGACATCTGTCGTATTCTCATTTGCGATTCTTCGACATTTAACTTCACCAGAGAGAGTTGAGGGTAAAAAGAGCGATGGAAAAAATAAAAGTCCCTGAAACCCTTAGTTCTTTGAATTCATAAAATCAAAAGACGTTCCTCCTATACAAGTTATAAAACTGTTTGCAACACAAATACAAAACGCATTTTGTAATCCATGATAACTCTTACGAAGCATTACACAGTACTAAATTCAAGATAAAGTAAAATATAATTCTCACCTGACATAAAATGCTGGATTATGCACTATGTTTTTCTTCTTGTCAACCAAAAAGTAACTATCCGCTTCATCGTCTGGAACATTGAAAAATTCTAAACTATCCGTCAAGATCTGCTGGAACTGAGTTTCCTCATATATGGGGAACTGACAAGGAATACCACCGATTTCATCGTCAGGTCCATTAACAATAATTTTTTTCGCTGACGGAACATTTGCTGATATTAAAAGTGCTTGCTGTAAAATAAGATCTGTAGCGCTAAAACTAATATAATACTCAGTAAGTAAAATCGCCAGATGATTGTAGATATTAAATGCAAAATATTCAGCTTAAATATCGCTTTACATCACACTGTTCTTTTCGTAACGTTTGTTTGAGGTCCTTGAAATACAATCCTTGAACGTAGGGAGCTACAAGCCAGATTAAACTGAGCGCATTTCCAATTGCTTTGAAACTTCCAGGGCAAGGAGATCTTACGTAGTACATAACGAATCCAAACTAAACGAAGCAAGATTTGAAAACTTTTTCATTATCCTTACCCACAGAAGAGAAAATAGAGCATAACTGCTTACCAGATAGTTCAGCAAGGAGTAGGCAGTTTGATTTGGCAATGGTTGAAAACGAAGAATAAGCTTGCGCAACAAGGACATCAAATATTCCTATATTAAAACAAATTTGCACTGAAAATTCGCTAGCTTATCAGAATTCCCCCTATGAGACAATGTTTTGGTACAAAGTGACTTTAAGTGGTTGAAAAAGTAGAATAAGATAGATTCTGAAACTACGTTCTCCACACAAGCGTCAAGTAAAGCCTTCATACTGTCCGTTAGGAAAACCACCAGAAAGAATAAAAATTATATCTTAAAACAATTTGTAGTTCAAAAAGCTAAGTTTTTTACATAGTTATATATGATAATGTAACAAACCAATAAGGTAACACACGCTACTAAAACTAATAATCATACAAAACATGTGCCACTCACCCACTGACTTGTCGGACGGAATTCAAAAACTGTTGACTGAAAAGTAAAAGCCGTTAGCTTAAAAGAACGTATTTTTTGAGAAAATATTGCCTTTTTCAGAGTAGGACTTGATCGAAATTGTGTTTAGTTTCAGAAAGATCAAAAAATAAAAAGTCCATTAGGTGTGCACCACATTATTTTCTTATGGGCAAGTCACATACTGAGTAACTTATCCATTAGAAATTAAGAAAGTAAACCAAGTTTAACCGTACTTGTCGATCTCGATTCGTTAACTTCTCCAAGAAGTGACGCAAGAATAAAGCAGGATCTTCAACTATGCACAACCATATAACCCTCCTAGCAGAGTCAGAAACTAAAAGCAGCGTTTAAATACAAACAGTTTAATTAACAGTTAAAGTGTATGCTATCTAATGCATCGAAAGAAGGAATGAAAGTAAATGTAGACGATAACTGTCAACAAACTTCACAACGAGGATAAATATTACACAGTAATAAATAATGAGAAAGTAGTCTTCAGTACGGACCTGAAATACCGTTGCTGTCAACCTGCATATCGTCCAGCATTTCTATCAGAGTTGGAACGATGGAGAGGATTGAGGAAGGGAACAGTGGCTGAGCAACGGGCATCTGAGCAGAGACAAGATGTCCCTCTGTTTCTGAAAAGGCTCCTAATCAGGTCGGAAAAGACCAGTCAAAAAATAAATGAACAATTTTAAGTAGACTATTAAAATTCTTTGTGTACTTAGAGGCTTCATTTCCACTTGTGGAAACAATATACAAAGAATTCAAGTGGTTTACTAAAATAATAAACTTACCAAAAACTGCTTTAAAATGCTCTACTTTATTTGAGCATTTCAATCTCCAAAAAAAAGCGAGATACTTTGTCTTAAGTAAGAAGACTTCAATTTACGGACACTTTTAGTAAAAACGAGAGAACAGTATTTTACCTTTTATTTTTAATGGTATCAAAACAGTCACAAATAGAACAGAGAAAGTTGTACCTTCAGAGAGTCCTTCTGAAATATTTGGTAACTGATGATGAAACAGTGCTGGTTCGTATGCAGCCTGTTGAACGATCGGAGTAGCACGTAAAGGAAAACTCTGTCTTAAAATACTCTGTCTTTCCTCGGCATCACGCATCGCTCGTTTGACCATTTCCTGCTTCTGCTTTCTTCTTGTACGTGTCATAGTCATAATCGTCTGTCTCTAGAAAGCTTTCAATCCCAGTTGCCTATTCACAGGAGTCAAAAACTTCACAGGATTAAAAAACAGTAGACCAACCGTTGCTTGTTCTTCTTCCTCTTTCAGACTTAATTCTTCAACTTTAGTTTTCACATGAGGCATCCACGGGGGATCGATAACAGTTGCTTGATTAACTCCAATTGGAGGAGATGGCAAAGTAAAGTCAATACCTGGTGGCGGTACCTGTAAATAAGCCGATTTAAGCGCCTAATGAAAGTTCATAGAATTACACTCGCAACTAATGGAATTGTAGATATCTGCAAATCAAAAATAACAGATGATTACTTTGAATGATAGTTGCGCTCCATCTTCCATTGTTAACCAGACATGAAAGCGATTTCTCCACAAAGCATGAAACCGACGAATTGCAGAAGTCCGTACGTCGGCATTCTGGTGCGTCAATTCATTGTGCATTAAAGACAAAACATTTTCAGGGCATCGAACAGACGCCACGATGAATATTGAGGCTGCAAAAATTATATTAGTCCTCAAAAGTATTATATCAAAAGTAGATTACTAATCTTAGTAGCAAAAAGAAACTTCTTTATTAAGCCACGGAGCATTTTTGGCCTAACCTGCTGAAGCAACAACATTTGTATCACTGTGAACCAACAAATGCCATGCCACTTTCAATATCTCCTTGTAGTGTTCATCTGCCAAAATTAAACAGCAGCAGAGTAATGCCGAAAGCGGGGAATGAGCAATATTAAGTCCTTGCGACTTCAGAAAGTTCAATTTCGGAGATGGTGGAACCTTAGACTGCAGTTGACTCACTTCTATCAAGTCATCGCTGTCCTACAACTCGTAATAAACTTGTCGAACACCACTGACTTGAAATGCACAGAGTGTGAAACGAATACTTGCGATTTGGCAAAACTTGATTTGGGTTTTTTTATCTTAAATTATTCCTTCTTTCATAAGATACGGGTCTTTTGCAATCGAAACAAACCCTCAATTTTTTGGCACGTGATTCTCTACCATCTTCAATTTCAGCAAGTTTTTCAATAAGTAAGCTACGAAGTGCCATTGGTGTCTTGTCCAGCATTGCTCCTTGTCGTACCGCTGCGCTTTCCCGACGCTGGGAAAATCCTGTATGCCGATGTAAGGACTGGAAATTCAAAATGAACGATATATTTAGCTAAATTTGCTTTTTGAATAATAATAATAGTGAAATTATTCAAAGCATTCATTTACAAAAGTTCTTACGTTACGTAAACTCTTTTGTCGGGCATTCCATGACTCAATTGCTGCCTTTCTTTTGTCTAATCTGCCTTCCGGAGGCAAATCTTCTCCATAAACTTTTCGAAGTGCTTCTGAAAGCCGGAAACACTGCCGATAAGCCCTTTCAAAACACAGTGGCGTACAGTATCGCTCATGAGTACAATCGAAATCGAAGCCATTGATTACACCAATCAAAGTCTGAAAAATTTGATGATTATTGGCCGTTTACGTTTTTGTAAGTGAAACAGTGCCGCCGATGTGGCAAATTCTTTAAAAATTAATTAAGGTTCACTGCAAGTCTATTTTGAGTGGAAACAGTATTTAATTTGTAAAATTAATGGGTCCTCTGAAAGACATTTTCATTTAATTAAATAAAATAACTTAGTCAGGATACATTTGTAATAACTAAAACCTATTCTACCGCAGCAACTTTTCATGCAGAAATCATTTTCATAATTTCCACTTTGCTTTACTAATAAAATCTTCAATTTTTGCAGATAAATTTACTGGAATTAATACTTGATTTTAAAAATGGTAATGGCATTCTAAAAAAGAATGTAAAAAAGATTTAATAGGAGGAGGTGTTTATCACCTTAATCCAAGGGAAGTTTTTTGTGAGTGTTTCTTCGTCCTCGTCGTGAAATGTCGGAGAAGTTTCTATATGTGTCTGTTGCATTCCAGATGTACGGAGAACACTGCTTCGGGCAGAAGATGAACCTCCGATAGTAGTAACACTCGGCTTTTCAGAAGTTAAGTGATCTGGTGATGAAACAGTTAAAGTGCTCTCTTCTTCACCTGTAAGTAACTTGTACGGCAATTGAAAGCAACTTCCAGAAAGTTAAATCATTTGGAGTAGCACTCTTTGATAAAATAAAGGCGAAGAAATGACAAGTACTTTGAAACAATTCAAAATCTGTTTTTTTTAATTACCCTCATGGGAGACGCTTGCAGATTCGTCAGAAACTCCTTCTTTTCTCTTCGAACGACGAGTCCAACCGGGTATGCGCATGGAAGACGCCCGCCGTTTAGCTTTCCAATCTACTGGCTTAACATTCAGCATAAGCGGTGCTGTAAGAAAAGTTGGTGTATTAACTGATACGTCATCAATAGGAGATTTAAAATAAAGAATACGTTAAATTGTATGATAATAATGCAGTGTATTTAGGAAGTATAATAAATTTACAACAGAACATTAAAATGTTTTATTAAATCTTCTTTGTAAATGTATAAAACAAAATTCACCTGTTTCTACAGGAGTAGCTTCAACTTCAGGAGCAGATACAGTTGGTTGCGCTTTTGACTGCTTCCGTAACCTAAAATAAAGATATATGACTTGTAAAAGCTTTTCTTTTTGGCTACGTCAGTAACATGAAACGTCTCTTTTCTTACAGTGGCAAATTAGTCCAGAAGTGTTACTGATTACTAGAAAGTATGATAAAGACTATCAAAAAATATACTTTAGTGAAGGCCGTCGTGCTTTAGAACTTGTATCGGGCCCTTGTAATGTTGCCATAGGACTCTTCCGAAGAAGACGCTGTCTCCCCTGCGCAAGTTTTCGAACTAAATTTAGTCATAACAATTTTCCACCTCCATTAAAATAAGGAAGATGAAGGATAGATAAAAAAGATAATTTCTGAATGCAAAATATTTTCAAAAGACAGTTAAAAACCGACTTTCAGAGTTGACAAATTTAAAAAACTAAAAATACAAGCGAAACTATAAACAGTAATCGTGATTATTTTTTGTTTCTTGACTTCATCTGTATTAACGAGCGCAACGGAAAAAGAAAAAAATTTTCTCAAAATCTTCAAGGTAACCATATTACTAGTAATTTTTCAAGTCGTCTATTTTTTTGTAAAATGTCTGGTCCTTGTGGCTGCACAGACGTATGGGTATATATGTAAACTTTTCAACAGAAAACCTTTTTTTTCTGCAATAAGAGCATTTTCATCCATTATTTCGACGGAACCGCGTCGTGATGATTCTTCTTCGTTTGTAGAAAAACTTATACGTCTTTCCTCTAAAGAAATTACGAATAATAACTGGCAAATAAAAAGGTACCTATGACTTTGATGCTTTGAGTAACATCAAATTTTTGAATAACTAACAAAAAATGAAAGACAAGTCGTGTGTTATGTAATTTATCAATGTAAAGCTGAAACTAAATACTATTTCAAACTATACTACGTGAAGCAAAAGAATGTGACACTGACGGTAATGCGCTGAATTTAGATCGATTATACTTTGAACACTGCCAGAATGTTGTTGTTGCGGGTAGAAAGTGGTAGAAAGAATAGACCAACGGCGATTTGACGTCATTTTGTCGTAGACAGGGCCGAGAAGCGTCTTTGACGGACGAGCCCGAGGAATGGTCTTAAAAAAATGTCTATTAATTGTTCGTACTGAGGAAGCCTTTGATCAAGTCAAGCAACTTATCTGAATAAAAGTCAGATGGAACTTAGCTCGACTTTGGGATTAGTAAAAAGTACTAACTTGAAATGTCTCCCGTAAAAAAGCTGTAATTTCCCGCAGAAGAAAGCACGCAAGTAACAAGAGTGCTGGAGGACAAGCCTCACCCGTATCATCGTTAACAATACCTGTTAAGAAAATGCAATTTAACAGAGGAATAAGCATTATGATAACTAACAAAAAAATAAAAAATGATCAATATCCGACATGAACCAATAATATGGAGAACCAAAGAAATTTAGAAAAACATATGAATTACCTTCATCAAAAAAATCTTCCAAGTCATCTCTAATCATCAGCTCTTTTTTGCAGTGGCTAAACTGCTGTCTAAAAGAACTAAATGACTTTAGACTTCCACCTTGATCAATTAACCACTGTATTCGATTGCCAATCTGAAAACATCAAATAGTCCAATTACAGTGAAACTTTGACAGTAAAATTCCTAAAAACCAAAAAGACCTAATAAAATTGTCCAAAACCAAACCTGAACAGCCCATTGATAAAAACATCTGCCAGCATTTCGTTGCAAAGAATGCATTTGTCGTGTGGCACTTGGTGTTCCACGGTTCCCAAGAGCATTGTTAAACCCCACAAAGCTTAGTTGCCTACCACCAGTTGAACGGATCCACTCTGGCCAGTCGTCTAAATAATCCACTTTTGTGAAGTTCGCTTGATTAAATCACTGGGGAAAAAAGTCTCAGTATGTTCATCAGTGATATGGAAAAAACTTCCTGTTCTACTTCTACGGTATTTATATACGAGAATTACAAGCGTGCAAATGCAGTATACGGAAAAGCTAAGTCGATTACTGAAAAGAAAGAAACTGTTTTGCATTTCCTCTTAGTAGTTTAAATAATCTGTCTATCAACAACTGTAAACAAATTGCAATTTTTTGAATGGTATTCGGTATACACTTACTGTTGTTGCAACGATGTACGTAATAGGTACATTCCAGTATTAGAGCAGCACGAGCGAGTACAGGTGATTTTAAGTCAAGAAGCGCAGCAATTAATGCGGAATCCGGGAAACTACCAGGCCAAGAAGCTTCAAGAAGAAACGCAAACCGTTTGACTCCGTCTTGAATTCCTTTCAGGTTTACCAGCTTTCGAGGTGGAATCCCCAAATTAGGCCCAGACGGTTTCCGGTTACCAATTTCTAGAACAACGAGAAATATCAATTAAAGCAACAATAATTTTGTAGCCAGCAGACAAAGGGGCTGTAAACCTAATAAATCTTCTGCAGAATCCGCACTTCTGTGCATTATTTGTTGAGATCTCGTACTACAGTACTTAGACCTTGGTTTCCGTTCACCTTCTGATACTGTTCCACCATCCTAAAAATAATTTGATTTACAGAGATGAAGTTCTCTTCTAAGAAGTTTCATAAAGGATGATTACGCTCTCTTGATAAAGCACTTTTCAAAAAGTAAAATATTTGATAGTAGTTTTTTCCAGGATATTTCCCCAGAGTTTCAATTAAAATGTAAAAAGTGTATTTTTTTTCGAAGTAAAAGTTTTGGAATTTAAATCAGTACCTGACTAGTATAATCTTCAGTAGATTCTCCGTCATATGCGTCATCATCGTTTTGATCCGGACGAACAGATTTCAATAGATTTAAAGCTAAAAAAAACCATCATATAAATAATAAATTATGAAGTTATCAAAAAGTTCACAGGTCTAAAAAATTATAACATTTAAGCAAAAAAAAAAAAGAATAGAATTAAAACATTGCCTGGATGAAGCATACCAAAGTGTAATTTTCCACCACTTTTCTTCTTCAGATTTGACTGTGAAATCGATATTGACGATATGGTAGCAGTCGCAGTATCATCTCCGCCATATGAGGCATTTCTTGGCGTAGATGGACAAGACTCAGCATCACTTTCGTCAGCATTTAACGATTGAAAACATCTCTGAAAAGCATTACCAAAACTATTTTGGATAAATAGTATCTGCCATAGATTAAATTGGCTTTTAAAGCTATTGGTAGTCTTTAGATTCTTGGTATTTTCAGTGTTACAGTCACAGTATCCTAAAAGTTGGTAAGTAAACTGCTATTTACCTTGTCTTTCTTCTTAAACAACCCACGTCTTAGAGAGGCTTGATCGCGTAAATTACCCTGCGGCACAAGACTGCTTGTAGTAGACCGTAAACTGCCATCATCGCTTAATTCAGACTTTGATTCAGTTCTAAACAACAAATGCGTTTTAGATCAGTGTCTGTAAAAAGGTTACTTCAGGTACACTACAGGATAGCACAATGTATCAAGATGCAGTTTGCCGAAGAGCACCAACAAAATTTGTAAAATTATGATGAACATGATTTCTGAATCTCGTTCATTGACCAGGATTAATTTTAACAAAAATTATTGCTCTAACTTTTTACTTTATACAAAAATAGTTTCATTTTTATTCAAAAATGTTTTTGTAGAACTAATAGTCAAATTTCTTTTCTTTTTTTTTTCTAGATCAAAAAAACCTGGACTTAGAAAAAATTTTTTATAAACCTTATTTTCATGCATAATTTACGATAAATTCTTGGCATTTTATCTGACAATCAGACAGCTGCTTGGCGAGCGAGCCAGAAAAATAGGACTATAAGACAAATCACATGCAATCTTCTGTCTCAGAAACAGAGTTCTGAAGAAACGTTGAATAGAAGAACTACGACAACAGGGGAAACGATAAGTGCTGAGAATCAACATGTTCACTGCCGTAATGCATCTATTAAGTTTTATTTTTTTGGTGAAATGTGTGTCTAAGATGTTCTTAATTAAAACATTGAATGATGGATGTTGAATCAGATGGAAGATGGTGTAGTAGAAAGAAATGCGTGGGTAAGAAAGAATGTATTTTCACTATTTTAAGCAACTAAAATCCTAGCCATACAACCTCTTTAAAACATTGTTTCTTAAAGTATTTGGAAGAGTAAAAATAAAAAAACATTACTCAAAAAAAGTTTTAATTCTCGATTGTCATTAAATTTAGAGAAAAGAGTGAAAAAATGTTGTCGAGTATCAGTGTATAGCTTTCCCCGTAACCACAGTATACCTTCAACACCGTCAACTTTCTAATAAACTGTACTTTAGATTTAATCTTTCGTATATTTCATTGTTACTGTCATATCTAAACAGTCAAAATCCTATAGCACTTAATTTTATAAAAATTTTATACCTTTAATTTACATTTTTGTACCGTTCAATCAAGTAGATTATAGCCTGTTTATTTCGTTTTTTTCTTGTTTCTTTTTCTATGCATCAGCTAACCAAATACCATCTTAGAGCAAAAATAGTCTACCGTTACAGAGGTGAACAGTAAAAAAAAGAAAACAAATAACATCTCTGCTGTTTTCTTAAGCAACTTTAAAAATTAGCCCTACAAAATAAAATTGTAATTTTGAGCGTTATTAAATCTTGCAAACTATGTCAATAAAGCTGAAATAATAACACTACTGATGATAATAATAGTTAAAACAAACCAAATACTTTTAGCTGTTTTTTTTTTCTTGTCATTTTTTCGCTGAAGAAAACCTCGTTTTTTTTTCTTCTGTCATTTAACATGCGGCCATTTGTACGATTACCGAAACACAAAATCCTCATAACTTTTACAATAATCAAATGAAAAAGTTGTTGAAAATTCCAGTACAAAGCATGCAAAATAGTAATGCATCAAGCGGGACCCAACAGCAGATTCAATCAAAATACCGGGGATGACAAAAAAAAAATGTTTGAAAAAAATGAAGTAAAAAAACACCTTTAACGTGCTTGCCATTTCCCTTAGTCCCAGAAAAAAATAAAAAATAAAAAACGAAAAAAGAGTTTGCTCAATTGCAAAAAAAAAAAAAAAAAAAAAAAAAAAAAAAAA